AATTTTCTGAAAGACTAATAAGATGCACAATATCAGAGCTTCAGAAAGTTTGTTTTGTTTAGACTACTGCACCCATTATCCCCAGCTAGCATTAATTCCTGTAGTTTCATTGCTTTTGATGCAATGAAAATTATTTTCAGCTGTTTCCAAACCATTCCAGGGCATTCCCATTATTGTAACATTTACCAATGAAAGGATGCCTCTTTGGTTTATAATCTATGAGGACCTGTCAGACTGTGACTGGCTTTATTCATTGGTTACTCATGTACAAAAAGAAAGAAAACAAAATAAAGAGACCAAAGCAGTGATTTCATGTTTTGCCTTTTATTTCTGGTTCTGTAAGAGCTAGAGACTTGCATTCAGAAAAGATGACTATTTGAAGCCAGGCCAGCTGATGATCTAAATTAGCCATTCTCAATCTTTTTTGGTCGTGGCCAAATTCCTCTGGGAATTTCATATACATTATGAAAGAAATATAGGCCGAAACAAGATTTTTAAAAATTTATTCTTTATTTATTTATTTGGCATTTATATCACCCATCTAGATAAATTTATTCTGGGTGGTTTACAGTCCAAAAAAACAATAGAATTAAAAACATCAATTTTAAAAAATCCTAAAACAAGCAAACATAATCCAAGATTGAAAAACCAGGGGAAGAAATTAATTAATGTCAGGAGGGAAGGTCTGCATAAAGAGCCAGGTTTTCAGTTTATTCTTTAAAATTCCCAGTGAGGGAGTCAGGGGGAAAGATGTTCCAAAAGTGAGGAGCCACCACTGTGAAGGCCCGGTTTCTATTTTTTTCCTTCCAGACCTCTCTCGTTAGTTAAGCCCCTCAGTTGACCAGCCTGGCTAGAAAGAGTGACACAGGTAGAACTAAGTGGAAGAAGGCGCTCTGACAGGTATTGAAGTCCTAAACCTTTTAGGGTTTTATATGTAATCATTAGCACCTTGAAATTGATGAGGAATCTAATGGGTAACCAGTGTCAGACTGCCAGAGTGGGGGAAATATTATGATATTTTTCACCCTAGTTAATAATCTGGCTGCCATATTCTGGACCATTTGAATTTTCCGGATGATTCTCAAGGGAAGCCCCACATAGAGTGCAGTACAGTAGTCTAATCTCAAGACTATGAGCACATGGACAAGTATGGTGAGCACCCCAACATCAAGATAGGAGCGCAGCTGGACAATCTGCTGAAGATATAAATGGACCATCCGGACCACAGAAGTTACCTGAGATTTCATGGCAAGCACCAGGTCAAGATGGACCCCCAAGCTGCGGACCACACTCTTTGTGGTGAGAGTTGCTCCCCCAAAAGAGAGGGAGCTTCCCAACTCACTGATGACAGGGGCACCCACCCTCAGGACCTCCGTCTTGTCCAGGTTCAGCCTTAGTCCATTCTCCTGCATCCATTGCAGAACAGCTCTCAGGCAGCGCTCAAGGGATGTAACAGCATCCACTGCTGATGGAAAAAAGGAGATGTAGAGCTAAGTGTCATCAGTATACTGATGACATGAGGAACCACATCCCGGATAACACCCCCCAGAGGCCTCATGTAGATATTAAACAGCATTGGACAGATGACTGAACCCTGTGGGACCCCACAATCGAGGAGCCACAGGACTGATACACTCTCCCCAAGCTGTACTCTCTGAGAATGGTCCTCCAAGAAGGACCGGAGACAGGCAAGAGCCAGACTACCAATCTCCAACTCAGAGAGCTTCCCCAGGCGGATACCGTGGTCGACGGTATCAAAGGCAGCTGAGATGTTGAGGAGAACCAACAAGGACAGTTTGCCCCCTCAGCCTCCCTCAATAGGTCATCCAGCAGGGTGACCAATGCCATATCCAAACTGTGGCGTGGTCCGAAGCCCAACTGGAACAGATCCAGGGTGTTTCTGAAGCCCAACTCGAACAGATCCAGGGTGTTGGTTTCATCCAAAAGGGCCTGAAGCTGATCAGCCGCCACCCTCTCTACTACCTTGCTAAAGAAAAAAACATTGGCGACGGGACTATAATTGCCAGTGTTGTTCCCCACCAAACTCGGTTTCTTCCTGATGGGTGTAATGAGCATCTCCTTGAGGGCAAGGGGAACATTGCCCCCCTGGAGAGACCCATTAATTATTGCAGGGGCCCATTCAGTTGTCACAGGCCTGGCTGCTTTGATTAGCCAGGCCGGCGGGCAAGGGTCAAGGGAGGAAGTGGTGGTATGACAGCGATCAATCACTTTGTCCACCTCTACTGACCTCACTGGCTGAAACTGAGTAATTCTCATCGGACATGACAGTGCGCTGGACGTCTTGACTCTATTGATTGTTTTCAAACAGTATTGTGTAAGTTGCGATGATTGCGTAAGTCGCAAGACAAACCTTATAAAATGGTGCATGAAGAATTGTCTGTGGCTTCCTTCATATGTGCCAGAGCTCCCCCCGGTGGCGGGGCCGGGGGAGGAGGAGTATATGGCTGCCATTGAGAATGGCTGGTCTAAATGGTTGCATGCCTAAAAGCTGGGTAAAACCAGGTGAACCACATAATATGGCATTTCAGGTGGTATAGATAAATTAACTAAATAGACACTCAGCTCAGTCTATAGGGCCTGGCATCTGGTTGGGTCCTGATTCCAGGCCTGATCATTAGTGCTGAAAACCTGACCATGAGAACTCCTGCTACCAGAGTTTGGCCCACTGCTTTTTCTTTAAGTTATCAATTAGATCCCACCTTGGCAATCTACAGTATTTGTGCTTTGTTTAGTTGAAGATAATCCTTCATAAAATGAGAAATAGCCCTAAGTCAAGTCAACAGTACAAGTTCTTCAGTATATCTGTTTCTTTACATGTGGAAGGAGTGCTATGGAATGACTACAGTACCTGTGTGTCTAATTTTGTGTTATGTTATGATGTACTTATGAATTATATCCCTGCTATATTTAAAGGCAGAACAGATGTAGAGGCCTAGTTTGTAGCACTGTGTCAATGAAAAGCTTTTCCTTATATGGGTGGTATTCGTGAGAAGAGAGACAGTATAACAGAATAGCTTATGTAGACATAAAAAAAACAGGAAAGGGTTGTTTATCTTTAGGAAGAAAATTCCACACAATTGCTCCCGTAAACCACTGTGAACACTGATGCTACTATTTTCAGACACTGATCTCAGACATCATTGAGATCAATCCGAGCCTGCATATATGAACGTTTGCTAAAATATGGAACAGGACTCTCTTGGTAGTGACTCCCAACTTGTGAAATTTTGTTCCAATGGATGTTGCATTATTACATGTCTTCAAGCAGACCTTAAAGACTCAAATTCACTTAATTGCCTTGGCCTATATTTAGGAATATAAAGAGCCATTGTGTACATTGTGTACATCTGGTGTTAAGTGTTAGTTTTAATTCTGTCTTTTTATTATTGTTCTTGTTTTCTGGCTTCATTCTTTTGTTCTGCACCACCTTAGTAAGATTTACTTTTAAAGAGTTTATAAACTATGTAAATCAATCCATCAATCACCAACCAAAATGAAGATTCCAGCCAAGAAATCAGACCAAGGTTGAGACTCGGAAGGGCAGCAATGAAGGAACTAGAAAAGATAATCCTGAATAAGGGTGAGTTACTGGAGTCCAAGGCCAAGATGGATTGAACTTCAGATTGCTATGCATAGAATTGAAAACTGGACTGTAAAGAATGCCTACAGGAAAAAAACCCCAAACAGATCTATTTGAAATATGTTGCTGGAGGAGGGCTTTGTAGATACCGTGGACCACCAGAAAGAGAAACAAGTGGATCCTAGATGAAATCAAGCCTGAATACTCTCTAGAAAGAGAGATTATGAATGAAGTAATTGTACTTCAGGTAAGACTCACTGGAAAAGATAATAATGCTATGAAAAGTTGATGGTAGTAGAAAAAGAGAAAGACCAAATATGTGAGGAGGCCATGATCCTGGGTTTGCAGGAGCTGAGCAGGAGCTGAGCAGGACTGTTTCTGTTAGAACATCTTGAAGGTAACTCATAGGATTGCTTGCAGGTCAGAGGTGACTTGATTGGCACACAGCAACAAGAATATGGCTAGGAAAACTAAAGGATGCCATGCCATAAAAGCAAACTGGGTAAGAGTTATCTTAGTTGGGAACTTCTTAGGAAAAGATGAGTAGGGAAGAGAAAAAAATGCAATTCTATCCACGCACCCACCCCAAAAACTCTGAAAATGTAGATTTTTGAGTCGTTCATTGCTATACAACTGAGGTTCCAGTGGTATTTACCGTAAATGAACTGTTTCCTGCTTTCTGCACGTAGGAATGGGGAAATTCCCTTAAATTCTTCCTCATTATTCAGCTTCCCAAGACTAAATGAAGACTTCAATTTTGGTCAATAACAGATGCCCAATCATTTGTAGCTATGCTTGATGGAGATTGGTTCTGACAACCAACATCACAATAGGCAGACCATTCTTTAACATATTAACCCTTGTGACCTAATTAACCATCCAAAGAATGCAAATTAGATTCCAGGCTGTCTGATGTTTGTTTTCCCCTTTGCAGTGATAAAGCTCTTCTAGTAAAAGAAATGTTAACACTGTTTACCCTTCTCTCCATCTTCACCTTACCTCCAGATTGCAGATTTCAAGTTTTCTGTGGTTGCTGTCATAACCCTGCATCTCTGTCTTCAACCGTCACTAGGCACAGTAACAATTATGTATACAAACTACATATCCTAGCTATATAGGTAGATTGGCTGGATAGCTCATATTGCATGTTATACTGGCACTGTGAGTCTGTTATGTTAAGTCTAGTCATGGTGTTATGTGGCATTTAGAAGTCTGACGGC